TACAAGGGGGTTTCATTTTGACTTGTTTATGGACTATTTGCATTTCGACTATTTGCCCATTTATTAATTAGGTTGTTGACTCTTTGGGAGTTTAGTATTTTTACCTCCTTTTATAATCCAGTTGTTAACCCCTGGTCAGATATATGGACTTCTTCCCATTCTGTAAGCTGTCTTTCCACTCTATTGTCTACTTCCTGTAGAAGCTTTTTAGGCTGATGGCATCCCATTTATCCTTCCTTGTTCCTGTTTTCTTGAGCTATTGAAATTCTATGCAGGAAAATACTGCCTATGCCAATGTGTTCTAGCATTTTCCATATTCCTTTCTATAGTAGTTTCAAGGTTTCAAGTTTTACTTTGAAATCCTGGGTCTGCTTTGAAATTGATACTGATACTGGGTGATAGACAAGGATCTAGTTTTAGTCCTCTATGTGTAGTTATCAGCATTCTAAGTACCCTTTGTTTTTTTTTGTTTAGGTTTTTTTTTTAACTGTATTTTTTTTGTCTTTTCTTTTTTGGTACTGGGGATCGAACCCAGGACGTTGCGCTTGCTAGGCAAGCGCTTTGCCACTGAGCTACATCCCAGCCCCTAAGTACCCTTTGTTGAAAAGGCTTTTTCCCCCCTGACATATACTTTGGGCTCATTGGTCAAAAATGAGATACCTGTAGGTTTATAGATTTATTTCTGGATCATCTGACCCGTTCCATTGGTCTTAATATCAGTTTTTGTGCTGGTGCCAGGGTGTTTTTGTTACTGTAGCTCTGCAGTGTAATTTGGAGTCTGCTATAGGATACTTCCAGTGGATTTTTTTTTGTTTGGTTTTTTGGCTATTTTTTTTGGGGGGGGGGAGTGTTTGGGATCTTTTGTGATTCCATATGAATTTAAGGATTGTTTTTTTTTTTACTTCTATGAAAAATGACATTGGGATTTTGGTAGGTAATGCATCATATCTATGGATCGTATCTGTTTTTGACATTATTGCCATTTTCACAGTATTGGGTCTACCAATCCATGAACATGGGAAGTCTTTTCTATCTTCTGTTGTCTTCTTCAGTTTCTCTCATCAAGGATTTATAATATTTATTGCAGAGGGTTTCTACTTCATTGGTTGTTTATTCCTAGGTATTTTTTTAGGGTATTGTGAATGAAATTATTCTAAATAGGTTCCAACCCATCAATATACAGAGAAGCTACTGATTTTGGTATGTTGACTTTGTGTCCTGCTATATTGCTGGAGGTGTTTAACCGATCTAGGAGTTTTAGAGTGGAATCTTTAGAATTCTTTAGGTACAGGATCATATCATCTATAAATGAGAATAATTAGAGGTCTTCCTTCCCTACTTGAGTCCCTTTTATTTCTTTCTCTTGCCTTATTGCTATGGCTAGGAATTTTAGTACCAAATTCAGTAGGCATGGAGAAAATAGACACACTTGTGTCATTCTTGACTATAAGAGGAAATGATTTTATTTTTTCTCTATTTAGTATGATTTTGTCTTAGATAACCTTAATTGTGTTGAGGTATATTCCTTTTTCTCATTTCCTCAGAGCTTTTAACATAAAAAGATGTTGAATTTTGTCAAAGGATTAATTTGGTATTGTTTTTCTTTCTCCTCCCTCCCTCTCTTCCTCCCTCCCTCCCACCCTCCCTCCCTCCCTTCCTTCCTTCCTTCCTTCCTTCCTTCCTTCCTTCCTTCCTTCCTTCCTTTCGGTCTGTCTGTTTTTCTGTCTTTCTTTCCTTTTCTCTTTCTCTCCCTTTCTCTTTCTTTCTTTATGTGTATGTTGATACTGAGGCTTGATCTCAGGGCCTTGTACTCTTGCTTGGCTATTTTGTTTTTTAGGTCTGAGACCCAGGACTCAAACTCAGAACCAATGCTTTCACTCATTGGCTAATGCTCTACCAATTGAGCCATGCCTCCAACCCCAATTACTTGGCTTTTTAAAATCAAGACTGGCATTCTAGCACTTCCACTTCCACTTCCAGCTTCTTCCCAGTGAACTGGAGATAAAAAAAAAAAAAATCTCTCCAATTTGTCTGCCTGGGCTGGCTTGAAATTGGTATCCTCAGCCTCCTAGGTAGCTAGGATTACAGGTGAGAGTACCAATACCCAATTTCAAAGGTTTTTATGCATCAGTTAAGATAAACAGATGATTTTGTTCTAGATCTTGTTTTGTACTGTATTACATTGATTTTTATTTATTTATTTTGTCAGTCATGGGGCTTGAACTCTGAGCCTGAAGACTGTCCCTCAGCTCTTCGCTCAAGGCTAGTGCTCTACCACTTGAGCCACTGTGCCACTTCCAGTTTCCTGTGGTTTATTGGAGATAAGAGTCTCATGGCCTTTCCTGCCCAGGCTGGCTTTGAACCACAATCATCAGATCTCAGCCTCCTGAGTAGCTAGGATTACAGGCATGAGCCACTAGCACCTGACTTGTATTACATTTATTGACTTACATATATTGAAACAACCTTCTATCACTGCAGTGAAACCAGCTTCATGGTGTGTAATCATTTAGATGTATTGTTGATTCAGTTGACAGGTATTTTATTGAGAATTTTTGTATTACATTCATCAAAGAGATTAATCTATAAAATTCTATTTCTTTAATATATCACTGTCTTGTTTAGAAATGAATCGATTACTGACTTCATAGGAAGAATTCTGTAGTGTTCATTTTCTGTCTAATGAAAGAATTTGAGGAGTATTCATGTCTGATAGAATTCAGCAATGAGTCTATTCAGTCCTGGGCTTTTCTTTCTAGGAGGTATTTTTTTAAATTATTGCTTCAATTTTATTGCTTATTATATAAAAGCATCCTTGGTTCAGTTTTTTTTGTTTTTGTTTTTGTTTTTGGTCAGTCATGGGGCTTGAACTCTGGGCTTGGGGCTGTCCCTGCACTCTTCAGCTCAAAGCTAGTGCTCTACCGCTTGAGATACAGTGCCACTTCAGGTTTTCTAGTGGTTTTTTTGGGAGATAAGAGTCTCATGGACTTTCCTGCCCGGGCTGGCTTTGAACCACAATCCTCAGATCTCAGCCTCCTGAGTAGCTAGGATTACAGGCATGAGCAACTGGCACCTGGCTTCTTGGTTCAGTTTTGGTAGATCAAATTCATCTAGAAATGCATCTATTTCTTCTAGATTGTCCTGATGCCTTGAGTATATGTTTTCAAGGTACGGTATTCCCTCATGATCTTCTGGCTTTCTCTTGTTTGTTGTGATAGTCTCATTTTTCCCCCCTCTAGATGTATTTACTTGGGTCACTTCCCTCTTCCTTTTAGTCAGATTAGCTAAAGGTTTAATAATTTTATCTTTTTGAAGACCCAGCTTTCTGTTTCATTGACCTTTTCTGAATTTGGGACCTCGTGCTTGCTAGGCTGGTACTCCATCACTTAAGCTATACCTTTAGCCATGCATTTTGGTCTAGATAGGATCATGCAGACCTTTATACTCTGGACTGTTTGTGAGTACAAAGTACTCAAATATGGTAATCCTTCTGTTTTCAGCCTCCCAAGTAGTTAGGATTAGAGATAGGGACCCTTGTGCCCACTGTTTTATTGATTCTTTGTATAATTTGTTTAGTCTCTTGTTTTCTGCCCTCTTATTTCTTTTCATTTTCTGATTTTGGATTTTATTAGTTCCTATTTTTCTAAGTGCTTGCTTGAAATACATCATTAGGCTATTTGAAATTTCTGTTATTTTGATGTAGGCATTCATACTATAAACCTTCCTCTTAGCTGTGTCATAAAGGTTTTAGTAGGTTATATTTTCATTTATATTGGATTCAATGAACTTTTGAATTTCCCTTCTTAATTTTTTCAGTGATTCACTGTTGATTTCATTCAACTGTGTTGTTCAGTCTTCATGTGTTTGATTGTTTTCTGTGGCTTCTTTTGCTATTGAGCTCTAGTTTTGCTCCATTATGATTTGATAGCATACAGAGAATTATTTAAATTTTCTTAGATTTGCTAAGGCTTGTTTTATGTCCTTAAATAGGTTCTGTTTTGGAGAATGGTTCACGCACTCTAGAGAAGATAGACAATATGTATTGTGTAGTTGCTAGATGAAAGATTCTGTAGATATCTGCCAGATCCATTTGGTTTATGGATTCATTTCAATCTGAGATTTCTTTGTTGATTTTTTGCTTGGATGAGCTATCTACTGGTGAGAGTTGAGTATTGAAGTCTCTTTGTGTGTTGGAGTCTATATGTGTCCTTAAGTCTAGTAGTGTTGGTTTAACAAAGTTGGTACATGTTAACTGATGTTTGGTATATAATTGTTAACAATTGTTATCTCCTCTAATGGAGTGTTCCCTTTATTAATATGAAGTGAACTTATTTGCCTCTTCTGACTAGTTTTATTTGAAATCTACTTGATCAGATATGAATATATATTCTTGCCTGCCTTAGGGAATTTTTTCTATACCTTCACTTTTTCTCATCTATACTATCAAATAGAGTCTTTTACATTTCTCTGGGAAGAAGGATGGTTCTTTAATCTTTATTTTTTAATTTTTTTTATTTCAGTGACTTTTTTTTTATTATGCTTGATTTTTAACTCATACCTGCCAGTACATTAAGCCATAGTACTAGCCCATAGTGAAGTGGGGTTTTTTTGTTTTTGTAAAGTCTTCATAAAACTTCATATCAGAAGTTGTTAGGAGGAAAAAACAAATCTGCGTATGATTGGGAAAGATTGCAAAAAACCTCTTAGAATATGGTAGGATCTTACAGTGTAACTTCTGATATGACTGTACTTTCTATTTGAGCAAATGGCCATGAAATTAATTCAGTGGAGGTTTAACATTTAAAGAAGTGGTAAAAATAGAATAAAAAGTCATAATGCATTGAATATTGCTGAGCTATAACTGCATGATGATTTTGTTCAGGAAAACATGCCAGTGTCTGAATGTGCTGAGTTATGGACCTAAAGTGTTTTTCTTGCTGTCAGTTATAATAAAAAGAATTTGGCATTAAAACACTATAATTTCTTTTATTATATTCCAGCTTTTGTTACCTTACTGAATGGGGAACAAGCCCAGAATGCAATCCAGATGTTTCATCAATATTCTTTTCGAGGCAAAGACTTAATAGTCCAGCTCCAGCCTACAGATGCATTACTGTGTATTACCAACCTGCCCATTTCTTTTACGTTAGAAGAGTTTGAAGAACTTGTTCGTGCTTATGGAAATATCGAGAGATGTTTTTTAGTCTACAGTGAAGTAACTGGCCATTCCAAAGGCTATGGCTTTGTGGAGTACATGAAAAAAGACTTTGCTGCAAAGGCTAGATTGGAACTGCTCGGCAAACAGCTGGGAGAATCCACACTCTTTGCACAGTGGATGGATGTTAATCTTTTGGCCTCAGAGCTCATTCATTCTAAGTGCCTTTGTATAGATAAACTCCCTAGCGACTACAGGGATTCAGAGGAGCTGTTGCAACTTTGTTCCAGTATCCATAAACCTATATTTTGCCAGGTAGGTATTTTTAAGAGATTATTAGAGCTATTTAAAAAATATTTGCATATGTGTCTATTCTACATGAATCCACAAGCTTAGCATTAGGTAGTAAATTGGACCATTTTATTCTCTGCTAGTGTATTATGAAGACTTAAGGTTCATAGGAAATTTTATATCACGTCCGGTTGTTATTGTATGTACTTCAGTATGCCTCAGCACACGCAGCACTACTCATTCCAGCCATTCATCCAGCTTTTCACCGCTTAGACAAGGGGTGAATGCTCATTTGCCACCCTCTTGGTGTCAGATATGGTGTCAAGTATCAGAAATGCAGAGAATAGAAGGATACTGTATCTCAGGACTTCATAGTCTTATGGCAGAGAATGAGAGGTAGGAAAAAATTGGCAAATTTCACATGGAGATCGGTATTGGAGAGAATAGGAAAATGTTATGAAGCTCAACAAGAATGTATCGTGTCTCCTGGAGTCATGTAGGTGAGACATTTAGAGAAATCCTGAAAACAACACTATAAAAGTTTTGAATCTCATACTTATAGTAAGATTAACTATATCCAAATAAGCAGACATAACTATACTATGTGTGACGGTATAAAGTCCTGCCCTTACAGATTTTCACACAACTCCCTCTAGTTCTCCATTTCTTCTTTCCTCCTCTTTTTTTTAAAAACCAGTTTCCCTACCACACTCTTTCTCTCTTGATTGCCTTTCTTCCCCGCTTTCTCCCTTTAATTGTACATTTGATGAATTCCTACTATTGCATTAGAAATTCTAGAGTTGGAATGTGCATGTATGTGTGGAATGACTAGATCCGGGTGGTTAAGATTCATATTGTCCTGATAGTTATGGTGTGATAACTCTCTTAGCAGTTAAAAAATACACTATATTATTAACTGTACACTATGTTATTAACTATAAGCAGCCATGTTATGTGGTAGTTTCCTTGAATCATTCTTTCTATGTAATTGGAATGTTATTTCTTTTGACCAACATCCCTCCAAACCCTACCCCGGACAACCACCCCAGCCACCATTGTACTCTGCTTCTAGGATGTGAGCCTTTTAAGTTCCACATGTGAGTGAGGTGATACAGTAATATGTATATTTAAAATTAATGTTACCATCTTCCCTCCAAAAATTGTATACATTTAGAAATGTTGTGGCAAATGTTTTAAATCAAATCTTGCCCAGTTACTAAAAGTTGGCTTGTAGCTATTCTTGAATACTAATTATTATATAGTGATACCATGCTGTAACCACCCATAATGCATTGTAGTTTTAGTTGAGGTCTTTCGAGCAAATGGGAAGGGATAACCATTTGTTATGTGTTGTATTTGAATATGAGTCCAAGAGCAAAAGGGATCATGTGGATTATGTATTTGACCTTTATACTGATGGAAAATGTTTGCTACACTATTTTTGAGTCACCTTACTATTTAGAGTTTGTTAAAATACTTCAAAGTAATGGAAAGTTAATTATATCGTAAGTCAAGCTATCATGTCTTTGAATTGCTTTCATGGTGAACTGAAATATTCCTTTTTTTTTTTTTTTTTTGCTTGTTGTGGGGCTTGAACTCAGGGCTTGGGCACTGTCCCTGAGCCTTTTTGTGCCAAGGCTAGTGATCTAGCACTTGAGCCACAGGGCCCACTTCCAGCTTTTTCTGAGTAGAGATAAGAGTCTTATGGACTTTTCTGCCCAGGCTGGCTTTCAACCGCGATCCTCAGATCTCAGCCTCCTAAGTAACTAGGATTGCAGACATGAGACACGGGGGCCTGGCTAAAATATTCCTTTCTAAAACTACTGATGCATGATTTTGAGTGACTTTACCTTTTGAAAGACTTAAAAAGAACTAATTTATATGGGAGTTAAGGTTATCATAACAAAAGTGATAGTATTTTAAGGTTTCAAAGGATTATTAAAACAATACTAAGATGACAACTTCTGTCAAGAGAAATGCTTGGGACCAAAGAAGAGACAAAAGGCTTTTACAGATCAGACTTTAAAATCTGATTTGGTTATGATAGAGCAAAGCTGTCAGAGAAGCATTGGGAAGAGGTCAGTGTGATGTCTTTTTCTTTACATGATTGGAATGTTTTATGGAGAAACAGACAGTTGAAGACAGTTTTAAAAGAAACAAAAATATGAACAAAAAATGGAAATTTGGTCTAAGTTCAGCAAGAAAAGTAGGATGAAGTTAAGTTTCAAAAGTTAGAGAAAAAAAAAAGGAAAGGGCTAGGAACTGATTTTTTTTTTTTTTTTTGTAAAATCAATGTATAAGATGCCAACCCACACAGAAGAGTTGTATGTCTTCTTAAAGACACACTTTGCAGTATACACGTATGGAAGATAGCTCATATGTTTGTGAAACTTGAAGATATTGTAGTGTCTTATTGTTTTCTTCTCTTGGAGCCAGTGTTTACTGGACATTGACATCCCCTGGTACCCTCCTACAGATGTGGCACTAGTCCTGCAAGCACAGTTTACTCAGAACTCAAGGTTGAGTATGGTATTTTAAGAAACCTGGGCACCATTTTCACTTTGGTACACTTGTGTAGATTCTGGGGAATCTGCCTCAGATTTTGCAATGCAAGTTGAATGTGTTTTCGCTCACCTGTCTACTTCTGATAATTCTTGTTTGTATATTTTTGTTTGTGTTTATTTTTGTTTTTTGTTTGGTAGTGGGGCCTTAACTCTGGGTCTGGGCTCTGTCCCTCAGCTCTTCAGCTCAAGGCTAACACTCTACCACTTGAGCCACAGCGCCATTTCCGGCTTTTTCTGTTTATGTGGTGCTAAGGAATCGAATCCAGGGCCTCATGCATGTAAGGCAAGTGCTCTACCACTGAGTCACCTTCTCAGCCCTGATAATTCTTGTTTTACATCAGTATGTGGGCTAGAAATTTTTCTCTGTCTTCCAATACTATTCATTCTCTGTAACCTGTACATTTTGTTTAAAAGAAAGTTTTAATTATTGAGTCCTCATGTTTTCTCATAAATGCCCAATCATACATATTTCTGATTGTGTAGGGAACTGTTATCATTTGGGAATTGACTGTTGAAATAAGTTATAAAAAATTCAGAATGAGACTCAATAGATCCTTTTCTATTTTCCTGACCATAGAGAAGGATCTGTGGAGTCTGCCCAAGCATCCCGTAGCCTTCTGTTTTCATGGAGAAAGAACGCATTATGGTCATAACTATCAGGCTCAGATCTACTTGTTCTTGAACTTGGAAACAATTTGTTGTAACTCGCTGTCACTAGTGTTCTGAGTCACTTGCAGAATTTCCTTGTAATAACATATGTGGTGTCAGCTTGCCCAGGATGAAGGTAGTTACGTCGGTGGCTTTGCAGTGGCTGAGTATCACTCTGCAGAGCAGGCTGAGGAAGCCCAGCAAGTGGCAGATGGCATGACCGTCAGCGGGGGCAGAGTCCAGGTGTCCTTCTGTGCCCCAGGAGCGCCAGGGCGAAGCACCTTAGCAGCACTGATAGCGGCCCAGCGGGTGGTAAGTGCAATTTGGTCTGTTCCTTAAATTTAGGAAACTCCTAAGACTATCTTCATCTAGACCTTCTATCTAAAGTCATGGATTATCCATTGAACCATTATTATATTTCAATTCATCCTCTCTGAAAATTGATGATGTCTTTGTAAGATCAAGCCAGAAGTTGTTAGAGAGAAAGAAATCGTATTTAGTAAAAATGTATTCGTCTTGAGAAGGTCTGTGAAGGAATTTTATTTGTTCAGTAAATGTTGGCGTTGCCCTTCTGCTGTGAGTTTTGAGTGTATTGTGCCTGTATTGGATGTTTTCAGAAATAATCCTAAGTATGAGTTGAGGAAGGCGTGTGTCTCCATTCAGCTCATACAGTGCTTCCCTCTTTATTATCACTGTGGACTTCTCCCTCTCCACGTCTCTGTCCTGAAGCCCCATAGATGGGACTCTATGCAGAGGGCTTTTACCTCAGCCCTCAGCATAGCAAATAACTTTTGACTTAATGAAGGGCGAGATACACTTTTGAAAAACTGGGGAAGACTTCATGAAGCAGGTGACACATTTGAGTGTGGCATTAAACAATGGCATATGTGGATGGGTGGAGGATAAGATTACCAAATACAGATTTTTTTTCATGAGACACTCGTGTTAACAAATCATTCATTGTTTATCTGAACTCCCAGTTTAACTGAGCAGCCTGTATTTTGATTTGCTAAATCTGACAGCCGTGAGGAGGGAGACTGCGTAGTGACTCAGTAAAGCAGACAGCTCAAGCAGTGGTCTGAGCTGGTTTATATGCTTGTAAGCGATCAGCTTGGACAACTACTCAAGAGATAAGTATGGGAAGGTGGGAGGTTGATGTCAGCAGGGGAGACTGGCATACCCAGGGAAATTAAACTGGATTTGATAGGAAATGGAGAGCTAATAAAATATATAAACAAGGCAAGCCATGGTGAGAGTAGTCCGAAACTGACTTGTAGATGAGGTACAGAGAGAGGAAGGTAGAGGATAGGGGATCAGACAGGACGTGGCTGTTTGTCCTCACTTCCATCTCTACCCTCCTCCTTCTCTTCTCTCATCTCGCTTCTGATCCTACAGCCTGTCTTCTCTTAGCTGTCTCCTTACAACTTCTTTCACCCTTATTCTATAATTCACTACTTTAGCCATGGTTCCCCATCAACTTCAGTTCCTCTGGCTAAGCTGTCTCTGTTGGATTGTGGAGTTTACAATTCTGAATCCATTCCAGTCACCACCTACTTCCAAAGTCAGGGCACTAACTTCTCATGGAGAAAAATAAACAAGTGGGTGTCGATGCCTAGGAATGGCATCTGTTGAGCGCTGGCCCAGCAACCTGCAGCTTGTCACTCGTCTGCTCTTTGGCATTTCCCACAGCAGTGTCTAAAATCTGCACCCTGTTCCTGCTCCTGTCCTTCTTTCTGTCACATGATCATGGGTTCTACTTTATAGAGACTGAAGGCTACATGGTAGATTCATTCAAGCAATTTTTCTTATTTCTGGCTTCATTCTTTGATTAATACCATTCATTCTACAAGTACTTACTTGGTGCTGGCTTCATTCATAGTGAGAGCTGTCAGAATTCACTGCTGTTTATTTGAGATCCCTGCTCTCTTGCAGGAAGCAGAGCCTCTGTAACCAGAGTCCCAGGTCAGAGGTCTGACTCTAGGGGTCTCACATCCCAGGTCCAGCCACTTAGCCCAGTATGCCAAATAAGGAGACAAGCAGTGGTAAAGGAAAATGATTGATATGGCATGGGAACACAAAGTAAGCATGTCAGCCCATCTTTGGGGCACAGGCATGAGTTTTAGAAGAAGAATTGGGGGAGGGAAGAGAAGTCTGCTTAGTTAAGCAGCTCTGAGCAAAGGGTGACATGGTTGTTTATTGTCTTGGTTCTGCTTCTGAGAGGGAGCCCAGAGAGGAGCAATCTTGTTGACATGAAACCATCATTCCTGCGCCATAGTACAGCCTCATCATTAGAAGTGTTATAGGTGATGGTCCTCATTTGGGGAAGATGCCCTACAAGTAGGAGGAGGAGGAGGAATACTATTTATATGTGTAAATTATTGAATCTGTTTGTTTTTGATCAGTTATAAGTCCTAGAGACTTATATGTCTGCTTTTTGTACTATCTTGACTCTTTTCATCATTGCGTACTATTTCATTAAATATAGATTTTTCTTGTTGTTGTTATTGAGAGAGACTTCTCCAGATATTGTTCTTTACAACTATACAATCAGAATTTCTCAAAAAAGTTGAGTCCCATTCATTATTCTCATTTCTTACCCATTTCCTTGTCAGCCTAACTCATGCATTATAGTTTCTGCCTTTGCTACTAAAGTACTCTCATGGAGATTAGCGGAGATTTTTTAGTATTCATATCTAATGGGTATTCTTCAGTCTTGTTTTGATGCCAGTCCTGGGGCTTGAAGTCAGGGTCTAGGCACTGTCCTTGAGCCCTTTTTTTTTTTGTTCAAAGCTTGTGTTCTGCCACTTGAGGCACAGCTCTACTCGTAGCTTTTTGGTAACTAATTGGAGATAAGAGTCTCATAGACTTTCCTGCCCAGGGTAGCTTTGAATGACAATCCTCAGATCTCAGCCTCCTGAGTAGCTAGGATTACAGGTGTGAGCCACTCATACCTGGCCTTCTTCAGTCTTTTATTATTTGATCTTGGCACTCTTAAGACTCTTCTATGGGGGTGGGGGGAGGATTGGGGAGGGGCGAAAAGGGACGGGAGGAGATGGGAAGGGTAAACAAAGGAGAGGCAACAATGCTTGATAAGGAATGTCTCATTATCTTGCCCATGCAATTGTAACCGCTCTGTATGGTATTTTCACAATTAAAAAAAAAAAGGACTCTACTATGGTCATGTAGTAAATGCCTATCATCCCAGCACTTGGAAGGCAGACGTAGGAGGATCACCAGGGCTCATCACTGAAGAGAAAGGGGCAGAAGGATTACCATTCTGGGCTGCATAGCCAGTCCAGTCCAGCCTCAGCTAAAAGGGAGATATTGTCTCAAACAATACAAAGTGAAACATGAAAAAAAACATTCTCAACGTCCAGAGTACATTGTAGGAATCTATGAAAATCTTACAATGAAACCCTCTATGCAACAAATGAATATAAATAAAAATATGAAAACAACTACCATGAATTCTGCCACAGTGGTGGTGTTCTTCTGCTGCTTCTGTTTTTGCCTTAACTTGTTTCCTTCACCTAGCATAGTACCAGCAGGCTTCTGTATTTCCTCTTTCTCCTTCTTCCTTGCAGATGCTCTTCATTGTTCAGTTATTGCCTATTAATAGTAACTCACATGTATATATCTGCTAAGCAATAATCTATATTTCAAGTGATTGGTTAGAATAGATTAGACCTCCTAACCTCCTGTTAAAGAAATTGTTTCAACATTTCCAAAGAAAATTATTTTTCCCAGAGGCGTGCTTTTCCAGGTCCTAAGTTATATATATAATCAAACTTAAACTCTGTGTGCCATAAACTTAGTCAGTCATGTTCACCCTTAGCCATACCCAGATCTGCTTGTAGGAAAAATATCAAATCTTTTCAGTTCTGCTTCAAAAATTGCAGATCCTTATGGCTATATCAGTCTTTTATTTTATACAAGAGTCTCATCTTTTCTTACCAGTGAGACTAGAATCACTCCCAATGTGGTCCCTCAGTTACTAGTCTTCTTCTAGTATCCTTCTTCTAGTTATCCTTCCCATCCTCATACTGGGTAGGCTGCTCTCTTGCTCCACATTAAAAAAAATTATTTTATTGTAAAGATGTTGTACAGAGAGGTTACAGTTACTTAAGGTAATTAGTACATTTCTTGTCGAGCATTGTTATCCCCTCTTTTGTTTTTCTTCTCCTATCCCTTTCCTTCTCCACCTCCCCATTGATCCACATTCTTTAATGAGAACTACTCTAGCAGTTCTAAGTCCTCACTTAGACTGACACACAGGCCACTTCGTGGCTACCTACCTAGCAGCAACAGTGGAACATCTTCAGTTTTTCTCAATCTTCAAAATAAGTTATGAAGTGCAAAATATATACATACTGCTATCCTTCTAAGTGACATTTTCTATAGGATTTTAATACAAAACCTTTTTTGGTACTAGGGTTTGAATGAACTCTGCCTCATGCTTACATCAGTTGCTTGCATAGTTGGCACTCTACTACTTGAGTCATGCCTCCAGCCCAGCTTTTTTTGTTGTTGGTCCTGAGGCTTGAACTCAAGGCCTAGACACTGACCTGAGCTTCTTTTGCTCAAAGCTAGCACTTTATCGCTTGAGCCACAGTGCTACTTAGAGCTTTTTCTGAGTGGTTTATTGGAGATAGGAGTCTCCCAGAGACTGCCCTGCCCATATCTTATGTATCTGCTTCTCACTGTCCCTGAGCTTGCATTTCCCCCGGACTAACTCCTCTATTCTATGGCTGTCACTGGGCCTTGCTGCTGTTTTTCTGCCTTGTTTGGCTGACCAGGAGAGCCAGGCCCCCCTGAAGGCCATGTAGAGGAAAGATCTCAGTTGTGAACTCAGAGCTCTTCCTTGAATTGCTCTGTGTGGCTCCAGGCTCTCTCCTGCAGCCGTTCTGGTCCCCTGCACACCGTCTCTCCCCCCATGGATTTGTTGTTGTTTTAAAATCAGGTTTATGGCAGTTTCTCAGAGTCATCTTCTTTCCCTCTCAGTTTCAGTGTCTAGATTAGGAGAGCCAGATTTCCTGGTCAAGTCTCCATTTTCTCATTACTAGAAGTTTCGTGTTTTTCTTTTCTATTACTATAGATCTTCATAGATCAGGCTAGTTTTGTTTTGTTTTTTGGGTCCGGTCGGGGGCCTGAACTCTGGGCCTGAGCGCTGTCCCTCAGCTCTTCAGCTCAAGGCTAGCGCTCTACCACTTGAGCCACAGCGCCACTTCCGGCTTTTTCTTTTTGCTTATGTGGTGCTGAGGAATCGAACCCAGGGCCTCATGTATGCAAGGCAAGCACTCTACCACTGAGCCACCTTTTCAGCCCGAGGCTAGTTATTTTTAAAACCAAATAGTTATATCCAATTACCTGTATACAAAGTCAGCTTATTTTAGTTTTGTATTAGATTTGCAATATAAAAAATTATTTGCAAGACAAGTTACATTATTAGTCTTCAGATCAACAGTATAGTAAGGCTCTTGTGTAGTTTTGAAGATACATATTGTGTCAGCAACTTCTGTCCTTGGTAGCTAATTCAGATTTTCCTTGTTACCCTCTTATGTGCCTATTGTGAAGAGATTTGTTCTCCTAGATGTGAGTCTTTGTGAAAACAAATGACATTTAATTGACATTCACAAAGATTTCATGTCATATGTAAAATAGAACAGCTAAATTAACTTAAAAGCTGGATAGAAAGCAAACAACTAGTTCAAGTTGTGTTAGTCAGAAAATAGATCTTTGATGCATGAGAATTGCTAGGGGAAAGCCTTTAAAACGTTGTCTTTTGTATCCACGCTTGTTCTAATGTTCGTTGCTGTATTCATGGAAGACACACAGTAATCAAAAGGGATTACTTCCAGAGCCTAATCCTGTACAAATTATGAGAAGTTTAAACAACCCCGCCATGTTACAAGTTCTTCTGCAGCCGCAGCTATGTGGACGAGCCGTCAAACCAGGTAAGCAGGAGTCCTCATTAACCCACAGCGAACCAGTCAGCGAAGCGTATGTGTGGAATGTGGAAAACGGGTTCACATGCTAAAAACCACAAATAAATAACATTTTTTAATTTTAATTTTAATCAGTTATCTGAGACAACAGTGTATTTTGACTGCTTTTTTGTAAGTTACAATCTGCTTACGTGTTTCTTATTTTGTTTACATTAATACAGATTAAATACTAAACCTTAAATCTAGCTTCTTCATTGGCATGATTTGAAACCAAGTAATCATTACCATACCACTTCTTGGAACAGGTCCCTTCATCATGTCAAGCCAGCTGAGGGTTTTCAGTGGGGGTCTCTCAGAATTCAGTTTGTGGTCCCCCTCCTCTCCTTGGGGGTGAGAGATGGAGCTGACAAACAGGCTTACAGCCCCACCGCTCTGATTACACAGTCCTGCTCAGCCTTTGCCTTGATCATCTTCATCTTGAGGCCAGCCATGGTCTCACCTTCATCATCTTCTTAGCATAACAAGGACAAAGGGGAAATTTTCAAGGATTTATTCTCCCTCCCAGAGAGCAGAGACAAAAATCTAGTTAAGAGAGAGAGAGAGAGAGAGAGAGAGAGAGTGTGTGTGTGTGTGTGTGTGTGTGTGTACCAGCATTTCGATGCAATGCCTCTGGCCTTAGTCCCACCCCACTTTTTGCTTTAGTTATTTTTCAGATAGGATCTCTCACTTTTGCCTGAAGTCAGTATTGGGCTGGAATCATCTGACCTTTGCCTCCCACAGGTTTGAGATTACAGGTGTGCTAGTTCTTTGATATAGAACTAACTTTTCCTTACCTATGGTCTCACACTTGGACTACAGGCATGAACCACTGTGCGCAGACTGGCTAACTTTTCATTATACAGCAATATTTGTATTTCTGCATCAGAAGCAATTGTAGAGGTTTTCAGGCTTAGACTATTATGCCTTCAGAAATCTTTTCTACAGCTTAACGTAGAAATACCATCTTGAACACAAAATAATAAAAAATCTCACTGTTTCTGAAGGCAGTTTGTTTCTTGATTTCATTATTTTAATGACTAGAAATGTCTTTTCTTTCTTAAGAGGACTGGGTTTGTTTTTTGTTTTTTGTTTTTTTTGGGGGGGTCCAGTTGTGGGGCCTGAACTCTGGGCCTCAACTCTTCAGCTCAAGGCTAGTGCTCTACCACTTGAGCCACAGCGCCACCTCCGGCTTTTTTTTTCTTTTTGCTTATGTGGTGCTGAGGAATCGAACCCAGGGCCTTGAGCATGCAAGGCAAGCGCTCTACCACTGAGCCACCTTCCCAGCAGGACTGGGTTTGTACTCAAGGCTTCATGCTTACTACCAGGCCTTCCTTGAGCCACACACCACCTTTTTTTTTTCCTGTTATTTTTTGGATTTAGTCATTAAAAAAAGTCTTGCTTGGGCCAGCCTAAAGCACCGTTCTTCTATTTATGTTTCCCACACAGCCGGGATAACGAGCACATGCCACTATACCCAGTTTTTTATTGATTGAGGATGGGGGTCTCCTGACCTTTTCTGCTCATGCTGCCCTTGAACTATTATCTCCCTGACCCCAGCCTGCTAGGTAGCATTCTAGGTTTGAGCCAGCCCACCTGTCTTAGAAATTTCTTTTATTAGGTCGTAATCCCTGTAGGTTTTAGTCCTTTGCTATGTTTCTGAAGAAACAAAATAAATTGTCTTCTTCCAGAGGAATAGTTTCCTAATATTGGAAGACAATTCTGTGAATACTCATCAGTTTTGGTTTGGTTTTCCCTGGTTTCTGTTTCCCAGTTCACTGTTTTCTGCTCATTTATTTATTTATTCATTCATTCATTCTGTGAAACTATATCAGTAAAATAAATTTGTAGCCCAAACTCCAATATATTTTTACCCATTAGAGTATTATCAGTTATATACCAAATCAATCTACCCATTGGCAGTCCATTTCTTAAGAAATGGTGAAGCTTAGTATTTTCCTTTTCTAAGATAAAATTAAGTATAAACAAGAGTTGTAGTACATTATTTCCTAAAACTTTCATACTTCTACTTTTTTTTTTCAGTGACAGTCCTGGGACTTGAACTCAGGACCTAGACACTGTACTAGGTCCTGTACTAGTACTTTGCTGCTTGAGCCACAGCTCCATTTCTGGCTTTTTGGTAATTTACTGGCGATAAGAATCCCATGAAGTTTCCTGAAAGTTAGGCAGTCTTTAAATTATAATCTTCAGATCTCAAATAGCTAGGACCACAGGTGTAAGCCACCAGCACCTGGCTCAGCCTTGGAATAACAATCTGAAAATGTCCCGGCCTCACATCTGCTCATCACTCCTGGCTAGGATTCTCAGTTACTGATAAACTGACAGAATATTTATGGGGATAAAGAAGACTTGAGGCATCCTCTGGTGTCAGAAGTGGTGTGTGTTTTAGTGTATTGTAGGAGAAAGGTGCTCAGCCTGAGTTTTTTTTTTTATATCATATTTTAGAGTTTCCCAGCAGAGTAGAGTGACTATCCCAAAAAGGGAGGAGAGCATTTGAAATCTCTAATTGTAATTGTGGATTTACCTACTTTTCCTTTCAGTTCTGTTAATTTTCATACTATATATTGTGAAGCTTTGTTTTTGGGTATACAGACAATTAGGATTTTTTAGGATTTTTGTATCTTCTTCATGAATTGGCACCTTTATTGTTATGAAATTATCTTTTTCTCTGGAAATATTCTTTGCTCTGAAATTTTTATATTAATGTAGCTACTTTTAAGAAATTTATATGAACATAACTGTCTGCATATATTTAATAAAATATTGTCAAGTAGGTTTGTATTTTATGTTATCTTAGCAAATCCTTTCATCACACTTGCCAGATTACTACTTTAATTCATGTAAAAAATACTTTGATATCTGTTATTTGTGTTTCCCATGATCATTATTTTGAGGGAAAGATCTTTTCACTCTGGTAGGTGATACACATGAGGCTTTGTAGGCTTGGTAATTTTCATGTTTTGCCCCAAGTGTTCTTTAATTAGGAGGGGATTTGTCTTAAAATAATTCTTTAAGGATGAAGCAAGTTGAAACCTGCTGAAATGGTTTTGGAAATGGGGGAAGAGGGCCAAGGAGAATGATAGAGGGGTGAGATTGATTGGAATACATTGTAAGCCTTTGTGGAAATGGAACAGTAGACCCCTCCCCTCAAACCATTGTCAGCTAGTAAATAAGTCAAGGTCATCCAATCATAGTAAACTTGGTGTTTGGATGACTTCGTTACAGCATTGGAGATATAGCTGTTGCTAAGTATAGTGCCCTGGATGGAATCCTGAAATAGAAAAACAATGGTGTCAATAATAATGACATGCAAAATCAAACATATACTGAGTACACATGTCAGTATGGATTCTATTGCTTCAAGGTATGATCATATGTAAATGCTTGAGAGAGAACTCGGTGAGGCATATGGAATGCTCTTCTACCTTTACTTTGTTATAAAAGTATCCTAATAGTTAAACAATCATTCTTTAGATTTCAATTCCGAAATTTAAAAAAAAAAACCTCTTCTATTTATTTTGTTAGTGAAGTAATAACTTTTCCTAAGTATCTGCACTCAATTTGCAGACATAGAGCTTGCAAGCAAGTTCTTTCTATATAATAGTTTTCCACCCCGACATGCCTTTTCCACACTGACCTATGTAAAAGAAAGCTAACGGGTCCCCTGCTATCTAACCTCCCATTACTCTAGTGACCTTAAAATTCTGCTGTAAATAAACACTCAATTGCCATATGCAGTGGGTATCACCGCCTTTGACAATGCTGAAAGCTGGTAAACTGCATAGTCCCTGTGAGTTGATTTAACTCTTGGAATACTGGATCATTCTTGTCATCTGAGGTATCCTGCTGTAGGCTCAAATGCGGGAACATTTGGTTTTCAGGTCAATTTGTTTCACTAGTCTCTTTTAGTTTAGTATTTCGTTTTTTTATTGTTTTGTTTTTGTTGAGGCAGAGTCTCAGTTTTTACTCAAGACTGATCTCGAATCCATGATCCTTTTAAAAAAATTATCTTGAAGTAGTTGTACAAAGGAGGTGCTTTTTAACAAAGTGTTCACAGATACCATGCATCTTATGAGTGTCACCCCTTTCAGCATGCTTCACCCATCCTTCCCTATCTACCCTTCCCTCACTTTATCTTAATTTTGTAGGATAAACATTGGACTCTGGTCTTCATTATCTCCTCTTCATTTGTTTACCTTTTTCCCCTTGCCCCACCCTACCCTTTCTGAGTATTTGCTTCCTGGTGTTTTATTTTACTACTTTGATTTTGGCTTTCTAAGGAATTACACTATTTGAAGTCCCCCTTGAATCTACCATATTTCAGTTAACACATTTGTCTTCGCCTTCGGAGTGCTAGGATTACAGGCCTATGTCACCATGCTTGGCACTGTTGTTATTTTTTCAATTTTGCTACTTGTTCATTATGAAAAGCTCTTACCAGTTCCTTCTCTGGAACTGAATATTTTGTAAATTATATATGTGTAATTTTGTATGTATGACTATTTCCATCTGCTTTATGATACTTAGGTGAAATATCTTCATGTATTTTCTATCTTATTCTCTTCTGAAATGAACTCTGATATTTAAACTCTTAGATTTGAATAGAATACGCTTATCATTTATTCCTCTTTCTCTGCCTAGTGTTGTTGTTATATCTTTTGTTTTTAGTGTGTAAATATTTCCGTGTGCATAGATTATTTTTTCAGGAGATTTCTTTCTTTCTTTCTTTTTGTTGGTGGTGGGGCCTGAATTCTGGGCCTGGGCGCTGCCCCTCAGCTCTTCAGCTCAAGGCTAGCGCTCTACCACTTGAGCCACAGTGCCACAACCAGCTTATTCTATATATGTGGTACTGAGGAATCAAACCCAGGGCTTCATGCGTGCAAGACAAGCCATCTACCACTGAGCCACCTTCCCAGCCCCTGCAGGAGATTTCTAAGAACAGGAATCATATCTTTCCACTATCTTCTCATAGCATCCTCCTTTCCTCCAAGAAAGCACTGTCCGGGCACAGGTGGCTCATACCTGTACTCCTAACTAGGCAGGAGGCTGAGATCTGAGAATTACAGTTCCAAGCCAACCCAGGAAGGAAAGTCCATGAGACTTATATCAAATTAACTACCATAAAGCTGGAAGTAGAACTGTAAGCTCAAGTAGTAAGAGTGCTAGCCTTGAGCAAAACATGCTCAGAGACAGCCCTGAAGTCAGGCCCCAGGAACTGCACACACACAAAACAAAAACAAAACAAAACACTGAGCAAATTCAGTGGGTTTAATTAGTTCTGAACTTATGAAAAGATTGAACTTGTTTTATTGCATTAGGGGCTAGAGAAGAATTAGCCTAAGTTTAGTGTTTCACAGTGATGGCAGAAAGTAATCCAATTTAAAGAGTTAATTCTGCCAATTCCAGAGTTGAATTGTCAGGGAAGTGGCCTGACACTTTTAACCAGTGAACCAAAGATGAGTATGTCACCAAATTGCTGATGAATTTGCTGAAAGTTTAAAGAAATGTTTTTGGAGCTTATTTTGTTTTTAATTTCACATGTCCATTGGTTAACTTTTTCTTTTGTTTCCCCCAAGCAGTCCTGGGAACACCTCACAGCCTGTCCCACCTGGTAAACCCCTCCGTCTCCCCTGCGTTTTTGCACCTGAGTAAAGCACATCAGGTATGTCAAGGCCCCGTGGTGGGCTGTAGCGCCAGGCCACGGCCACGTGCTCATTCTCAACCCATAGAGTTCTTAGCAGTTACTTGAGTATTTTGCTTTTTACTTTTTGTTGGTTGTGGGCCTCAACTCTGAGCCTGGGCGCTGTCCCTCAGCTCTTCAGCTCAAGGTGAGCGCTCTACCACTTGAGCCACAGTGCCACTTCCGGTTTTTGTGTGGTTAATTGGAGATGAGAGTCTCACTGACTTTCCTGTCCAGGCTGGCATTGAATTGTGATCCTCAAATCTCAGCCTCCTGAGTAGCTAGGATTGCAGGTGTGAGCCACCAGCACCCAGCTAGTATTTTGCTTTTAAAGTATACCCTTAATAAATACAACTGCAGTATATCACATATGAGTATATCAGATCCAGTTAAGTTAATCAAAATAGCATGGTAATTATGTTGACTCCGATTTGTAGGGTCTTAAGAAGGAAAGAGGTCTGTTTCATGGTATTTATTTTTAATGTATCTTTTTGCTAGATAATGGATAGATAGTGCAAAACAAGCTTATGTAGTCTTAACTCAAGAGATTTATAAGCCAGGCAGCATGGCTCAGATGTGTCACTGCCGCTATTTGGGAGGCAGATAACTGGAGATCTTGGTTTGAAGGCTTTTTGCCATATACAACCTCAGCCCATGGCTGGGTACGATGGCATGTGCTGCTCTTCCTAGTGACAAGGGGAAGGAAGCACCTAATTTTTTAAAAAAAAGATCATGTTCCACATTACTGTGAAATATGTGAAATTTATGTAATCACCTAACCTCAATTAGAAAAAAAGTGAGAGAATAGAGGGGTTAGGAGGGATGGGCGACAATGTTGTCAGACACCTTGTACTCATATACTGTTTTATAGAATGGGAACTTCTTTGTACAACTACTTAAAGAGATAATAATAAAAAAATTGTTAAAAAAATGGACTGAACCAAACCGGGAAAGAGCAAGGAAAGTGGTAGCATTGTCCAAAAAGATGTCCTCTTTTCCTGACTTATGTAACTGTATCACTTTTTAATAACTTTTATAATAACAATTTTAAAAAATTAAAAATTTTTAAGGAAAACAAGGATCATGGGTTCAGATCAGTCTTGAGTACACAGTAAGACTCTGCCTCAACAGAAACAAAACTTTAAAAAAAAAATGAAACACTGAACTAAAAGAGACTAGTGAAACAAATTGACCTTCAGACCAAATGTTCCAACATCCAGCGTACACCAGGACACCCCAAAAGACAAGAATGATGCAGCATTCCAAGAGTTAATCAACTCACAGAGACTATGTATTTTACCAGCTTTCCAAGAATAAAGCCCTCCTTCAAAAACAATCAATGGCAAAAGGGGCTGGGGGCCCAGCTCTAATAGTAAAGTGCTTGCTTAGCAAGCTTAAGACGTTGAGATTAAACTCAGGACTGCTCTCACCCTCCAAACATTTTTATAGAAACAAATAAAGAATAATTCTTGAAATTAAGTATTATAAAAATTCATATACTCTTGAGAGTAAGGAATATTTTTCTTGTCATTTAAAAATATTTCAAATATGTGCGTGATATTGGAGACAAACATAATGAAATAAGTATTACTTTGAAATTCTTTAAGAATCCATAGTACTGATTAAAAGGCAAAGCTGGTATATAGTAAGTGCTTGTATAGGGGCTGGGAAGGTGGCTCAGTGGTAGAGCGCTTGCCTTGCATGCCTGAGACCCTAGGTGCGATTCCTCAACACCACATAAGCAGAAAAAAAGCTGGAAGTGGCGCTGTGGCTCAAGTGGTAGAGTGCTAGCCTTGAGCTGAAGACCTGAGGGACAGTGCCCAGGCCCAGAGTTCAGGCCCCACGACAGAACCAAAAAAAAAAGAAATGGAGTAAGTGCTTGTATAGGGTTGGATAAATGAACATGTGGTCTTAAGCCCAGCTTTTATTTTTTTATCCTCACAGTCCTGACAGGACTGATGACATCTCCATTCATTCCCTCAGCCTACTGTTGTTGTGAATTAGCACATATACTATACTCTGCTCATCACTGATGACCCAGTGTCCCACAGCACATTCATTGGGAAAACAGACATGAAACAGTGATTGCAATTAAGTATGGAGAGTATGAATTGGGGTACAGGGGTAGAGTTAGTATTGATAATATTCCCTTTGTGTTAGGAGAAAAATCAGGTACATTTTAAGCTTGCTTTGAAAGCTTGTGCAGGTGGCTCCTTCTGTTTCCTAAGCTCATTGTCTGTGACTGTTCCCGGGATCTTGTTCTCTCCTGCTCAGTCCCCTCCTGATGTCTGAGCTGTCTGCAGCACCTTACCCCACAGCCCTAACTGCCCATACCTCACTCACCTCTTCCAGCCTTCAGATCTTAGCACCTGAGCTCGGTCCTCAAGGAAACTGCCCTCCTATCTTCCAGGCTCTGCTAGAGTCCCCAGCATTTGCATAGTCTCTTGCTTGTTCCTCATGCAATTGCCATTTGTAATCTTACATCTTTTTTGTAAGCTTTGTTTATTTTGGTGTCAGTCTTAGGGTTTGAACTCAGGGCTTGGGCTACTGTCCTTGAGGTTTTTTGCTCAAGGCTAGTGTTCTACCACGTGAACCACAGCTCCACTCTGGCTTTTTGGTGGTTAGTTAAGAGTCTTTTAAACTTACTTTGCCTCCTGGGCTGACTTTGATCTATGAGCCTCAGATCTCAGCTTCCTTAGTAGCTAGGATTACAGGCATGAGCCACCAATGTCTGGCAATCTAACATATTTTTGTAATTAAAATCTCACTTTTTCTGGGGGACTGTAAGATCCATGAGGCCCAATCATTGTCTAAAATTTCTCGGTATACAACATAGTACCTGACAAATAGAAGCTGCTCAGTACATCTTCGCTGAGGGAGTGAGTATTGGCAAGCATATGAGTATAATGTCAGTGTCATCAAGGGGAAGAGAGGGAAAGGACAGCAGGGGCAGAGGTGGAGTTGCTCACGTGATGGCATGGTCACTTCTTGAGAAAACGAAACACCCCTGCCGAAAGTAGGAAAAGGGGTATCCCATGATAACACTGTGGCTTCTACTCAGATCCACTGGAGAACTGAATTTTAAGATGAACACGATAGCTTTTCAAAATTAAACCAACTTACTGTTTTGTCACGTTCACAGAGCTCAGTTATGGGCAGTACTTCTAACATATTCCTTCAGAATCTGACTCACATATCTCTGGCACAACAACAATTAATGAAGTTTGAGAATATCCCTACAAATAATGTAAGTATCACATTTTCTTTTGGAATGAGTCGGTTCCTTTTCTGGAGTCCGGCTGGTGATCAGCTTGTGGATTTCATGTGTGTCCTCTGTGTATGGCTGTAGCTGTCAGCCAAGGGCTGAGCCTTACTTTGTTTCCTCCTCCTCTTGCAGAAGCCTGGCTTACTCGGAGAGCCCCCGATTATGGTCCTGCCCAGCACTCTAGGGCTGGGGCCTGCACTTCCTCTGAAGGCAGAGCTGGCACATCATGGAGAGGCACGCAAAAGTAAGTGATGGGTATTTGCCAAAAGTCAGTCCCGCTGAGGCTGGAGATTTAAAGGTAGGTTACTGCTGGGCTCCAATGGCTGAGGCCTGTAATCCTAGCTGTGCAGAAGGCTGAGATCCAAGGGTTGTGGTTCAGAGCTAGCCCAGGCAGAGAAGTCAGTGAGATTCTTATCTCTAACTAGCCAGCAAAAAGCCAGAAGTGGAGCTGTGACTAGATGGTAGAGAGCTAGCCTTGAGGAAAAAAAAGCTGAAAGGTAGTTCACAGGCTATGAGTCCGAGTCCTAGAACTAGCACAGAAATAAACAAGACTATTTACCTATATTCTGCATTTATTTATAGGAGGGTCCATTTTGAGCTATAGTAGACATTTCAAATTTCAGGAGCCCTCTTGACTTCTCTCTATTTAATATTGATAAGTTATTGATGGGTCTGCTTCCATGCCAACATAAGACAGCCCCTGCTGGATATGCTTTAATCTTTCATGCAGCTCCCAGCAGCATGAGGTGAAGATCCAGACAGCAGATGCACACATCCATTTCAATCTCGCCTCAGCTTTTTATAAAAGGAATAACTAGTACTTGCAAGAAAAGTTTACTTATTTGAATCATTTTAAAATTAGTACAGAAAACATTGTATATGTAGTGTAGATAATACTCAGCACATGGCAAAGGAGACATTATTATTATTAATATCTGAAGACAGGAGTATAGCTTTACTTCTTACTGGAATGTGATTTTGAAAGTCTGTTAGACATGGACATGCTTAGTGGAAACCTAGTGTCCTCAGTAATTTAAAAGTCAGCCAAATATAGGGAACTGTCTTCACACTTGTGCTCAATGAGTAACTCAGGCTATTCTGACATTGAAATTGATCGGGCGAAGGTTGAATCAAGATATTTTTAGGACATTAAAGAGCCTGTCCTTCCAAAAACTTGAACTTTTTATGACTAAAAGCGATGCAAGTGTTTATCATAACTTGTGTTAAATAAGCCTTGCTATAGTTTGTGCTCTTCGAAAAGTACTGAAAATTCAATGTTCAAGTAATCTTCTTACTAAAAAGAAAAAAGAACTTAAGTAGCTATCTCTAAGCATTTAGTGCTGTAAGATTTGTGTCAGTGAATTTGTGAGACATAAGTTAGATTTAAAGTGGTTACACAGGTTCTTTCCATTTAATTTTTTTGTTTAGTTGAGATGGGGTTACCAAGGCTGGTTTTGAAATATGTGGTTCACATGATCCTTCCGCTTCAGACTAAGAATAGCTGGGGCTCTACATGTCTGCCACCTGCCTAGATGACCTACAGATTTTTTATTTTTATTTATTTAATTTTTTTTTTTGTCGGTCATGGGGCCTGAAGTCTGGGCCTGGGTGCTGTCCCTCAGCTCTTCAGCTCAAGGCTAGTGCTCTACCACTTGAGCCACAATGCCACTTCTGGCTTTTTCTGTTTATTTGGTGCTGAGGAATTGAACCCAGGGTCTCATGCATGCAAGGCAAGCACTCTACCACTGAGCCATCTTCCCAGCCCAACCTACAGATTTTTAAACAGTGGAATAATTATGAATTTTCCCATTAAAACTTTTATTTCTTTTAGAATTTTATTTCTTACAAATAAAAACATTAAACTTTTATGTGTTAATGTTTGTCTAGTCACAAATACTGATTCCTTCCCACTCCCTTCCCCTAAAAAAAAAAAAAAAAAGTCTTGATATTCTGGTGTTGAAGAACCAGATCTTTAGGCTTAAAAAACATCTGGGGGGCTGGAAAGATGGCTCAGTGGTAGAGCGCTTGCCTTGCATGCCTGAGGCCCTGGGTTCGATTCCTCAGCACCACATAAGCAAAATGAAAAAAGCCGGAAGTGGCGCTGTGGCTCAAGTGGTAGAGTGCTAGCCTTGAGCTGAAGAGCTGAGTGACAGCGCCCAGGCCCAGAGTTCAGGCCCCACGACTGGACCCCCCCCCCAAAAAAAAACAAAAATAACACAAACATCTGGGAGAAAAATAGCAATGGGAAGACACTGAACTTAAGTTCAGAAGAGATGTTGGGTACCCTGGTTTTTATTAAGTGAAGCCAGCCAACCAGTGTTGGGTCAGTCCAGCCTATTGTCAAAGGATTTAATAAAACTCAAAACTTACTTAATCTTTAAAGAATGGAAGCAGGTGGGCAGGGGCGTGGCTTATTTGGTAGAGTGCCTGCCTATCAAGTTCAAACCTCAGTATCATTAAGAAAATAAAGAAAGAAGGGGGGGGGAGAAGGGAAGGAATGAGGGGGGAAAGGAGGGAGAAAGAGAGGGAAGGAGAGAGAGAGAAAGAGAAAGGCTGGGCTGGGTGCCAGTGGCTCACGCCCTTAATCCTAGCTACTTAGGAGGCTGAGATCTGAGGATTGAGGTTCAAAGCCAGCCCAGGCAGAACAGTCCCAGTGAAACTCATCTCCAGTTAACCACTTAAAAACCAGAAATAGTGTTATGGCTCAAGTGGTAGAGCAGCTAGCCTTGAGCACAAAGAGGCTCAGGGACAGCACCCAGGCCCTGAGTTCAAGTCCTACAACCAAAAAAAGAAAGAAAAATTTAAAAATAAATAATGTGGAAGCAGATAAATCGAGCATTTTTAAGGTACTGACATAATTTAAATCACCAAATATACATAAACTTGTAAATAAACAAGACTTATAATTAAAAATATAATAATATTGAGATCATTCTGAAAGTAAGAAAGCGTTATTGTTTTAGATTTTTTTTTTTCACAAAGGAGCCTCCCAACTTAAAAGCCTAGCCTTACCTTTTGAATTTTAAAGTTCTCTAGTGGGTACAAAATAGACTTTTCCACCTTGTACCTATCATGTAACAAAGTCAAAAAGACCGTTGCTGCCTGGCTAACAGCCCTTGCGTTTATGGTTTACACAGCATCTACTCTGGTTCCAGCGCAGACAGCGGTGGCGGCTGGCATGGGCATGTTGCCCTTCTTCCCGGCTCAGCACAGTGTTGGACAGGCTGGGCCAGGGCCTGGCGCTACTCAGGAGAAACAGCCAGCCACGGTGGGAACAGCAGATGGCAATTTCTCAGTGTCACAGCCTTATCTTCAGAGCTTCCCAAGCCTCACTGCTGGAGGCCTGCTGCCCGGACACCAGAAGCAACAGAGCCAACCAAAAGGCACAGAGATAAATCCAGAGGTGAGCACACACATACATATAGGCTCATAGGGGTACAGATGCTTCCAGGAGCCTCAGTGGGGTATTTCTAATACTAGCCATAGCCTAAATGTGATTGTGTTATAGGTGGTATAATTTTTGAAGCTTCATAAAATAATCCCTACTGTTTCTAAACTTGAAGTTAATCATATACTTAATATATAAATCATGACACCTACGTAGTTGTATGAAAATATAGTAAACACATCGATATTCAAGATATGTGAATTTTTAGCATTGCTAAGTAAAATGTTGAGTTGGGAATTCATTTTGTTGAAATTTTTTTCCATACTGGGGAATTAAATGCAGGGTTATGTTCATGTTAGGCATTTGAGCAATTCTCCCAGAACATACTTCATTTTGGTTTTGGTCTTGCTTTTTTGAGACAGGGTCTTAATAGCTTTGTTCAGGAACCTTAAATTTTGTTTTTTGAATAGCTGGGATTACAGGCCTATAACACCATGCTGGCCTTATTTTTTGTGGGGGAGGGTGGAGTCCAGGGCTTTGAACTCAGGGCCTAACACTTGCAGCGTTCTGTCTTGTGAGCCAGACCCAAGCCCTTACTCATGGCTTTTGTCGTTTGCTGAACTTATTTATTTTTAGCTGGCTGTTACTTTTAGTACCAGAGATAAATATGATTTGCTTTTGCTATATCATATGAAATAAAAAGTCTTAGTAACTGATGTTAATAGCTTTATTGTAGAAATGAGGTCTAGGTTGCATTGTGTTTTCTGGTAAAGATGAGTTCTTTCTGTTTCAAGTGTGAACATTGTACAGGACACCTTCCCTCCTATTTCAGTTCACAGTTCTATAGGTCTAGAATGTTAATTTTTTTAATAGGAAAAATATTAACAGGTGAAAATAAAGGTAAATAAATATTTATAAGTATTTCACAAGTTTATGTCATCGATTAGGTTCTGCGAGTTTTTAGTCACACTAAACCAGATGTATTGAAAAATGTGTTTCCCTATTCTTTCTTCATTCTAACTTTATGCTAATCTCTTAAGTAGGGTTTATTAGTTGAACAGTATATGTAATTGTGTAAACAAGGGATTTCACTTTGATAACCATGCATGCATGTAATCTGATCATATTCACCCCTCTATTTCCTCTGCCTCTTATGAAGCACCCCATCTTTTGTTTTTGACTGTAGACTGCTGCTAAGACCCAGACTTCGCTCCTGGGGGAACCTCCAAAAGAAGTCCGGCTCAGTAAAAATCCGTATCTGAACCTGGCGAGTGTGCTCCCCAGCGTGTGCTTACCGTGTGAGTGAGGGCTGTCACCTTGCACTTGCTCTGAGCGCTGTGCACAGTGACTTTACTTAGCTTTTAAAATCTCAGTGGAAACAGATAGTGTCCACTGACCAAATTATTCCCTCAATCACAAACCTACTCCTTAAAATGAAAAAGAAATTGATGAAAGTGAAGACTCCTAGAATGTATGTTACTCTTAGAATGTAGAGGAGCAAGATCTTTAATAGTATTTTTCTTAAAAATAAAATTATTTCATTGATTCATTATTGAGTCATGATTGAAAATATACAACGAGGGTGAAGGGACAGTTCGACAGTTCTCTGTGATTCTTTACAACACACAGAGGATTGTTTTACTACGTGCCGCAGATTGGCCGTGGATGGCGCTGGCTCAGAGCAGGACCTCACTTAGAGCGGACTGGGCCTCTGGGCTTCCACTCACCCTCCTTGTGCCATTGGGGTGTCTGAGCTGGTGCAATGAACCAGAGTGAAAGCCAGAACGAGGAACCGGAGCAACTGCTTCCTCTCTGAGGGTCTGTAGCATTTGATCCTAAAGGTTGTGTCATCATAACTACCCATGCCAGCCTTGGTCCCAGCCAAAATGCTGAGCCAGCTTTGACTCCTGAAGCTGTAAGTGCAGCCACTGCAGCACCAGGGTTGGAGGCGGGTCGCTCACGCTGAGCTCTGTCCATCTCAGAACTCAGGAAGCGGGAGGGGCTGTTAGATGAGTGAGCTATGCTTGACAAAAAGGCTGTGGTATGTTTGGCCTCCACCACTCCAGAAGAGATCTCGGAGAAATTAAAAACGGAAGCTGGAAAACAGTTAAAGCAGGACGTGGAAATATATCCTCGAGGGACTATTTCTGTTGTGGCTGTTACTAATGGTGTGAGGAAGAGGTAGGAAAGTGTATTTAAATGAATAAGTGAACATGGGGCTGGGCTGCATAGTATATATTATATCCGTGTATCCATCTGGATCAGACTAAAATCATAGAAATCTGAAAAGCACTGTCCTAACCAGGTGTCAGTGATTCATGCCTGTAATCCTAGCTACTGAAGAGTCTGAGATCTGAGGATCATGGTTTGAACTCAGCCCAGGCAGGAAAGTCTGTGAGACTCTTATCTCTGGTGAACCACCAAAAAGTCAGAAGTGGAACTGTGGCTCAAGTGGTAGAATGCTAGCCCTGAACAAAAAATTTAGGGGTGACACCCAGGTCCTCCGTTCAAGCCCCAGGACTGGCAAAAAAAAAAAGTAAAAATCAAAAATTAAAGCACTATGGTTTGATAGAGGCTCTAAAATACCTGACTTCAAACATCCTGGAAATAGTTACTCTGCCATCTTGGAGTGGCAGCAGAACGGCTGGATGAGGCCCCTCCCCTGCACTGGATGGGTCTAACGGAGGGAAGCTGGGAGAAGGCTTACCAGCACCCCAGGAGTGTGCCCACGGCAGCCCAAGCCCAGAGGCCTGCCCTTCACTGCAGACTGACATGAAAATAGCCCACCAGTGTCACCAGGGTGGGGGTGGAGGAGACGCCCCTCTGATCCACTTCATAGCTGACTTGCCATCCTGCTTTCTAGTCTTCATAATACTTAAGATGCTTATTGAATGTAAGAAATGATTTTTGTATCTGTTCAAAACAACATGAGGCATCTTGTGAAAATATTAAATAATAATCAAGACTTGAAACTTAATGATTTTTGAGAAGCCCCAGAATGTCCTTCTCCCTCAGTAAGTTGGCAGTCTTCAAATCCAAAAGGTCTTAGAAGTCACCAGAGATCTTTAAAAGAACAAAGAGGACTTGCTAAGTCTTTTCAGTATTTGTAAAAGCCTGTCAGAAATTACATTTCTACCTGAGAAAGAGAATAAATGAAGTTTACAAATTTGCAGCACATTATAGTAATTGAGTAAATATCTTAGTTACCCCCCAAAAAAGAGAATTGCTTTGCTAAACCAGGATTACAAACCCTTAAGTAATCTAATATATCCAAAGTATTTGGATTCCTGAAAAGCCTATGAGTACTAATTATCAGAAATTAGATTTTTATTTGCTTTTTTTTAAGCCCCCACCCGCCTGCCGGCCTTCAATCAGTCACTGTAAATCTACTATTCATTCAAATCTAGTTTCAACAAATTCGACAGAGCACCACCCAGGCACAAAAGTCACCACAACTTTGGTGATCAGCAGAAAAAGACTGTATAACACTAGAATGTTTTGGTAAACTTAAGCATATTTTAAGGGGGAAAAGCCAGGACACACATCAGATGATTCCATCTGTGGGTATTTAAAGCTACATATTCTTCCGTGCACACATTTGACTTTGTAAACGTGTAAGTTAATCTGGAGAAAGAAATTCTGAACTGTTAGTTATGGGAAAAAATAGGATCAAATGAAAAGGATTAAAGCCGAGTATCATTTAGATATATAAGTTCTGCTATATTTTTGTACCATCTTGAGCCCAAAAATTTATTTTATTATTTATTTGTCAGTCATGGGGCCTGAACTCTGGGCCTGGGTGCTATCTCTGAGCTCTTCAGCTCAAGGCTAGCACTGTACCACTTGAGCTACAGCACCATTTTTGGCTTTTTCTGCTTATGTGTTGCTGAGGAATCAAATCCAGGGCCTCATGCATGCAAGGTAAGCACTCTACCACTGAGCCACCTTCCCAGACCCCAAAAATTAATTTTTTAAAGCCAGAAAAATTCAATATGTTTTAATATACCTGTAATATATTGACCTGATCTAAAATTTCGTTATGCCCATGATTGTATTAGCAGGAATTCATATTTTATGTGTCTTGTTTGCAAATGTGTCTTTAAGTGGTTTTTGTTTGTTTTTTGTCAGTGGTAGGACTTGAACTCTGGGCCTGGGAGCTGTCCCTGAGCTCTTCGGCTCAAGGCAAACACTCTACCATTTGAGCCACAGCACCACTTCTGGTTTTCTGGTGGTTTACTGGAGATAAGACTCTCACAGACTTTCCTGCCTGGGCTGGCTTTGAACCATGATCCTCAGATCTCAACCTCCTGAGTAGCTAGGATTACAGACGTGAGCTATCATCACCCAACTCTTTAATTGTTTTTTAACTGTTTCTATCATAATTATTTTACCAATAAGGCAAGCTTCCACTTTCAGTTGTTCCAAAAGAATGAAACAATATGCTGGGGGCCAGTAGCACAAACGTACTGTAGTCCTACTCAGTCCTCGCTCAGATCTGATGCTCAGATTTCAGCCTGGGCAGCAAAGTCTTGTGAGACTCTTATCTGCAAATAAACTACCAAAAAAAAAAAGAAACAAAGAAAGAAAGGAAGAAAGAAAAGAAGAAGGAAGGTAAGGGAAGAAGGAAAAGCAAAGCAAAGCCAGAAGTGGAAGTGTGGCTTAAGAAGTAGTAAAGCATGAGTCTTGAGCAAAAAAAAGCTCAGGGACAGCACTTAGGCCTTGAGTTCAAACCCCAGGAGTGGCAAAAAAAAGAAGGAAGAAAGAAAAGAACCCCAATATTATATATAATTTCTTCTGGGGACAATAAATGTATATATAATGGCAAACTAAAATTTGTGTTCTGTTTGAAAATATGCTGAGTGAGTTTAGCATTCTGTTTGTAATTTATGAAAACCTAAATTGTGCTGATTTTGCCTTCAGCCGCTGCAAGTAAAACCTCCCTTCCTAAGACTGGAATCGCACACAGCATTCTGGATGCAATCTCTCAGGGAAGTGAGTCTCAGCATGCGCTGGAGAAGGGCATTGCCTCTTCCCCACCTTTCGGTGATTATGCACAGGTAAGTGATGACGATGTCATCAGCTCAGGGTGACAAGTAGCGTTCCATGAAGATGAAATTAGCTTTGCGTTCATGTGATCAGAAGAATGTCAGCTGGCACAGGTCAGCATATGGGGTTTCTTGCTCTGCATTTGAAATCTAGGAATGGGTTCAAGAGATTGCTACCTATGATTTTACACCAGATATTTACCTCTCATTGTTCATACGAGTGGTCATAAACTACATGTAGCCCACAGATGACACCCAGCTCACCGTCTGCCTTTGGAAAGAAAACTTTATTGGATATAGCCATGTCCACTCACTACACATTTTCTGTGGTGCTGTGGAGCTGCACTGAAAGACATGAGCAGTTCCAACAGAGGCCTATGTGGTTACCTGATTGAGTATTATCTGACAAAGCAGAGACTGCTGTCTTCCTTTTATACAAGTGTAGACGTGAGGACCCCAAGGAACTGCCTCAGCTCATGGTTGCTTTTAGATGGAAGACATGGTCATTTTTACAGGCTCTACTATACAAACTTGAAAACTAGTTGATCAACAACATCAAAATTCAGCCATCCTCACAGTCAAGAGGGGATTTTCTCCAGGACCCTGGTGTAGGCCAAAATCTGTGGATGCTCAAGTTTTGTATATAAATGCCATAGAACTGACAGATACAGAGTATTCAAAAGACACGTTGTGTTGACTTAGATATATCCATTTTGCTGTTTTCAGGTAGAACTCAAGAGAATGAAAAACCAGTGTCCACACACAAACTCACACAACAGTTTGCTTATAATTATTCCTAAGAGCCAAATGTGAAAGCCTAAATGTCTGTCAGTTAACAAATTATCCATAAAAGAAATGAAGTTCTAATCCACACTTACAACATGAATGAATCTTTTAAGCTTGATAAAGTAACACAGGCTCCATACATGATGCCACTTTATGAAATGTGCACAGCAGGCAAATCCATGGAAAAAGATAAGTAGATGGGCCTGGGAATGTGGCTTAGTGGTAGAGTGCTTGCCTTGCATGCATGAAGCCCTGGGTTCAATTCCTCAGTACCACATAAATAGAAAAAGCTGGAAGTGGTGCTGTGGCTCAAGTGATAGAGTACTAGCCTTGAGCAAAAGAATCTCAGGGACAGTGCTCAGGTCCTGAGTTCAAGTGCCAGGACTGGCAAAAAAAAAAAAAAAAGTAAGTAGATGGTAATTATTTGGGATCAGAGGAAGATGATTTACAGGTGGAGAGAGGTAACTTAACAGGTGCAGGAATTCTTGTAGGAATGAGGAAATGCCCTAGAATCACATTGACACACACAACCTTGCAGATATTGGACTCTGAGTCTTGTTTTGTGCTGTCTTGGGGTTTGAACTCCGGGCACTGTCTTTTGAGCTGTTTTGCTCAAGTGTAGCACTTTAGCACTTGAACCACAGCTCCACTTGTGCAGTTTTTATCTTTGTTTTTGTTTTTGTGGATATTGGAGACAGGAGAGTCTCTGGACTTTCTTGCCTGGCCTGGCCTAGAACCCTGAGGTCTTCTGAATAGCTAGGATAACAGGCATGAGCCATCAACACCTGGCAAGACTCTTGAGCTTTTTTCAAACAAGTCTTAATTTGTTAGGCCATTGTGTTAAGCCATTTTGATTCATGTTTCATAAATCTTCAGAGTGTCTATTGAAAACTCACGCTTGTAATCTTAGCTACTCAGGAGGCTGAGATCTGAATATCTGAAGCCAACCCAAGCAGGAAACTCCACGAAACTTCTCTCTTCAGTTAACTACCAAAACACTGGAAGTGGAGCTGTGGCTTAAGTGGTAGAGTGCTAGCTTTGAGTGCAAAAGTTCAGGAACAGTTTCCAGGCCCTGAGTGCAAGCCCCAGAACACTCTCTCTCTCTCTCTCTCTCTCTCTCTCTCTCTAATACCAGACAAGTTAAAGTAAGGTTGAATTAGAAATCAGTTTTAAATGGATACTACCATTTCTCCACTTAACTACAACTCAGATTTTGATTGCAATGTTCAGTTTATCTGTGTAAAAACTGCATGCCTTAAATACTTTAACTGTGACTGAGAAATAATTTACGTTTTCTCTAGAAGAATGGCATCACAGTCTGAAATCCTGTAGTAATGTGAATGTACAAATGGTTTGAAATGTCAGTCTTTTATAGAAGGCTTTGAATCAATTTACTACATACTTAATGACCAAATCTAACATCTAATTATAATTTGACAAACCAGTTTTCTCTGCCTCCTTTTATTAAAGTAGGTTAAAATAGGCCAATATTTATTCTCATCATTTTTTCAGCTTTAGTTATCTGTTTCAATAATATAGAAAAAAAATTAGTTGGCCAGGAGGCATGGCTCAAGTGATCTAGCACTAGCCATAAGTGGAAGAATTAGTTCGGCTGTTCTGTTTAAACCCTGATTCTATAAGGTCACTGCTGTCATTTGTGTGGTGTACTCCTGTGTTACTCTGGTTGCAGGTCATTCCTGCCAGGAAGTTGTCTCCCCAAGAAAATCATCACAGAATGGGAGAAGAGAGTGGAACAAAAATGAACAAGGCTGGAAGGTGCCTGGCCCCTTCTTCTACAGGGCAATGCTGCCATCTAGTGGCTCTAAAGGGGAGAAAAGCACATCCTGCAGTGACAAAATCCTGAGACATGCATATGAATGCCATAGACCTATTTGTACTATTAAATCTGTCATTTATAGAGCCTTGTGTGGCCACTAAACTTGTGAGGTGATCATTTCACTTTTTTTGCCAGTCCTGGAGCTTGAATTCGGGGCCTGGGTACTATCCCTGATCCTCTCTGTGCTCAAGGCTAGCACTCTTAACACTTGAGCCACAGCACAACTTCCAGCTTTTTCTATTTATGTGGTACTGAGGAATTGAACCCAGGGCTTCATGCATGCAAGGCAAGCACTCTACACTAAGCCATATTCCCAGCTTGATCATTTCACTTTTTTTGGGGGGGGGGGCAGTCGTGGGGCCTGAACTCTGGGCCTGGGCACTGTCCCTCAGCTCTTCAGCTCAAGGCTAGCGCTCTACTACTTGAGCCACAGCACCACTTCCAGCTTTTTTTTTTGCTTATGTGGTGCTGAGGAATCGAACCCAGGGCCTCATGCATGCAAGGCAAGCACTCTACCACTGAGCCACCTTCCCAGCCCCAATCATTTCACTTTTTAAATGTGATAAGCATACCTTTTGGTGGGGGTGAGGGAGAGAGGAAGTCTTAAGAGGGAGGGAGTGGCAAGTCAGGAGCACACCTTTGCTTCCCAGCCACTGTGCAGTGTGGTGCTGGCTTCCGCCATATCAGAAGCAGCCACATGGGGAAATACACAGTAGAGGAACCATTTGGCCAGTATTTACCGAGTGCCTGCTTCTTAACAGGCAATGTTGTAGGCACGAGGTATATTGCAGAGAACAGAGCGCTCTCTTATTTCAATAGAATGCACATGCAGGGAGGAGTTAGGAGGAAGTAGGAAAAATGGTAAAAATCTGTAATGATAAATGCAAAGCTTTGCAGATTAAACATGGTGAAGGGCAGGATCATTGTGCACTTGACCTCTGGGCAAAGATAAGAAGTTTGGGGAATATGCCATGCGCAAGTTGGTGAAGGATACTCTAGAGAGAGGACTGGCGAGCACAGAGGCCCTGGGGCAGACATGCTGGCGTGCCAAAGGAGCTGCCAGGGAGCTTTGTGGCAGGAGTGCACAAAGGGGAATGAGGGATGGAGTCACAGTGGAGTGGAGAGTAGTGGCGTCTTTTAAGCACTTGCCTGGACTTTGGTTTTTACTCTAACCAATAAATGCTGAACATGGCAAGCTCAGGAAGCTGCTGAGATGTTATCCAAGTAAAAATGATGTGACCTGGGGTAGGGGAGACAGGTGGAGGTGGTCAGCAGTGACTAGCTGCCAGGAGTTGTTGGAAGGTGTAGACAGCAGCATATCATAAATGTAGGATAGGAGACATGGCAGGATAGCCCAAGGTGTGTGTGTGTGAGAGAGAGAGAGTGTGTGTGTGTGTGTGTGTGTGTGTGTGTGTGTGTGTTAGGGCCTGCCTCATGCTCTCACTTTGCGTTTTCATTCAAGGCTGACACTCTACCACTTGAGCCATAGCTCCTCTTCTGGCTTTTTGTTGGTTCATTGGAGGTAAGAGGTTCATAGACTTTCCTGCCCTGACTGGCTCTGAACCTCAATCCTGAGCTCTTAAGCCTCCTCAGTAGGGTTATTATAGATGTGTGAGATACCAGAATTTACTGGCACAAGGATTTTAGGTTTAGAAAAAAAAAAATGGAATTGTCAGGGTCAGGCACCAGGCCTGAAAGTGACAGAATGTGCGATAACCAGGAGTAGTGAGGGTTGTGGGTGTCGTGGGCCCCAGCAAGGGGTTTAACACCACTCCCTTATCTTTGGAAAATCTCACTTGCAGAATGGATTGCAAGTGAAGGTATGCCCGTGTTTGCTAGTGGATGGGGTCCACTAACAAGCTACATCACCAACTACTGAAGGGTCTCCAATGAAGGCAGCTGGCGAATGGTGCCAGGGCCTGCCAGTGAGCAGGGGACGGTGGGGGAAGGTGGGGGGAGGGGGGAGGGGGCGGTGGAGTGAGCAGGGAGCAAGCTTGCCTCCTCTGTCCACTCATCTCAGGCAGCCGTCAACTCCCGGCCAGTTTCCTTCCCTCTGTCTTCAGATGACTTCTGAGCAAACCTCATTCTTCACTGCCAAAGAAATGTGGGGACAGAGGGCAAAGCCAAATCCTTGGCCATTCAGTGCTTTCATTTTATGAACTGTCCTGTAAACTGAAAGTTGTGTGAAGGTTTCTTGTATTGTCCTCCCAGTAGAAAGCTACACAGAAATAATGTAGCAGAACAAATTTGTCATTTTTTCCCTCAATGCTGAGGATGGAGCCCAGGGCCTTATACATGCTGGACAGGGGCTGTAATGAGCCACACTCAGCCACACTGTCCTTCTTGACAGGCATGATGGAGGGCTGACAGTTATGCCTATGACAGACTTTGCTCTGCTCCAGTTTTGACGGTCCAAATACCACTGAATGGGAAAACAAAGACTCTCCTTATTGGCTGTTTGTTGCCTTCGTGTTTATTGTTACATAACTGCTTGGACAAGCTTGTCAGCTGTTTGTAAATCCAAACACTAAGGATTAGACCACAGGTGCTACCCTTTACTGGCCTGCTGAACAGTGAGAAAGGTTTGGCCATTTCCAGACCAGTCCGGAATCTGATTATTGTAGACACTAAGGTTTTGAGTTCCCATTGCTTTCTAGAGTATTGCCATTTCCTTATTACTCTTTCAGTAGTCATACAAAGGAGTTGCCATTTAATAAAGCAGTTTATGAATACAATGTATTTTGCTCAGTGTCATCCCTTTCAACATTCTCATCTATCTCCAACCCTACCCAACCCTTTTCTTCTTGCTTTGACTGTTTGCTGTGTTTATACCTAATTCACTCTCCCCACTCATTTGTTTTGTGCAGGTTCTGAAGCTTGAACTCAGGGCCTAGGGCCTTAGCTTTTTCTCTTAAGGCTAGTACTCTACCACTTGAGCCACAGCTCCATTTCCAGCTTCTTGATGGTTAGTTGGAAGTAAGACTCTCATGTACATTCAATTTCAGGGACTGCTTTTGAACTGTGGTCCTCAAACCTCAGCCTCTTGCATAGCTGGGATTACAGGTGTGAGCCACCAGCCCTGGGCTCTCCACTCCTGTGAGCAGGCAGAGTATCAAGTTTGCTATATAGATTACTATCACTTGAGATGGCCAACTCCGATGTGAACAGCAAGAATGACAGCATGCTTATTTTTCTTGACTTCAAATCCTGAGGGGGCTTGGAGATGGGGTGATGTTGGCAGATTCCAAAGATGATTTGTTCATTTTGTGGTGCTGAGATGGAACCCAGGCAGCTAGGCAAGGCTCACTAAACTACAGCGATTTTTTTTCCAGTTGAAATTTTTTTCCTAGTTGCAATTTTTTTTGTAAGACTGCAAAGTTATGAATACAGACTCTTAAGAGTCTCCTAGGTTTTTACGTAAGTAAATTTCAAGTTCAAGTCTGAACATTTTGAACTATTTATAATTAACAGGACACCTTCGCATAGCAGTGTCAGATAAGAAGTTAACACTTTTTGTGGCAAGTTGGGGGGGGTTGAACTCAGGGCTTTGTGCAGTCACTTCCTCTACCACTTGGTCCACAGCTGCTCTTCCAACATTTTGCTAGTTTATTGGAGATAAGTGGCTCATGGACTTTCCTGCGTGGACTGGCTTCAAACCTTGATCCTCAGCCTCCTGAGTAGCTAGGATTACAGGCATGAGCCACTGGCTACACCAATGATTTTTACACAAAGATGTTATAACCTAATTTAACTGAAAGATTTGGGTTCTTTTTTCTTTGACAGCTTCTATGTTCTGTATTTACACCAACATGAACAGAATACAACTAAACATCTTTAGTGAGTAAGCAGATTTCAATTTAGCTTTTAACGTTGTGCTTCGGTTTTCTCCTAGATGTCTTCTTTGAGAAATGAGAAGCGAGGCTCGGCCTATCTCATCTCAGCCCCTGGCGGCAGTGCAGTGGAATTCGTTGGCCAGCATTCTCAGGGCACTGGAGCTTATTGCTTGGAAACCTACTTAAAAAAGAAGCGAGTGTGCTAAGCACCGCCTTCTCCCGTCACCTCCTGCGGCTCTCTGCAGCACCGCGCTGTTCATCACTGCCTTAACTTCATTCAGTCTAGCCATATCCTTTCAATACGGGTTTCTGATTTCCCAGAAGGAACTGTGTTGTGCAGCAGGTGGAATTGCCAAATGTCAAACACGCAGCAATAAGAAGAGACATCCACTGAAGATGCATTTCCACTAGAATTAGATCTGTGCTAATCCATGTGACATTCACACACAGACCACTGGAGAAACAATGTCCTAACGTTCCTTGGTTAGGACTGGGAACAATTTTGATGTCGCATACAAAAGTTTGAAGCAATAAGTGGGAAACAGTCTTGTTTCCTTAGCCTTAGAATGAATTTCTTACAAAGCCACTGTGCATTTCAATGCACTCTCCCTAGACGTAATCTCCTCTTTACATTTGTAGGACCTGCCTTCTCTAAAACCATCAGGGTGCAAGTACCAAATGTGGTGATGGCAACACGACCAATCATCTCTGTGCACGCTCCATTACTATAGCCACACCAGCCATGCTAGGCTAGGCCCAGCAACAGTGATCACGACACACTGATAAAGTTCTATGTACTACCATTTGCACCTTTTGTGGCAAATGCAAAGTATTTTAGGAAAGGGAACTTCAGTGATCAAATTCAGGAGTTGGGCCACTTTGGCCCACTACTGTGTGCTGCCTGCAAGCTAAGAATGACATTTGTATTTTTAAATGGATGGGTGGGAAGGGGAGACTGATGACTAGAAACTTACATGAAATTCAAGTTTCAATGTCCACAAATTTTTATTTTATTGGAACAGAGCCAAGCTTATTTAAGCAAACTGAGTAGCTTTGACAGAGGACCACATAGCCTGCAAACCCTAAAATATTTACCACTTGGTCCACAGAAAGTTTACTTGACTCCTGGCCTAAAGGCACTAATTCCCTGTTATTTTCATTTCACATGAAGAAAGACCTCCAACCTTTGCATGTGACATAGAACAAAGGTTTCTGTGTTGTCTTTCAGAGCAGACTAGTGATGGTCTACCTACTAGACAGGGCCACTTTGATTACCAAATGCCCTCATTCTACACAATGTTAACTGTCCATACTGCCCTTTCTGAAGGAGTCCTAGGGAGATATTTGTAACTATTTTGAGCTAATTAGCTATGCTTAACTCTGGTTTCTCATTCTTTGGTAATATGTTTGGGTGGAAAAATATTAGCTCTTTAATCCACTTAAAGAATTTTTGTCTTAACGTGAGTTTGACAGTGCTATTTTCTGAAGATCTTGATATTAAATGCATGAAAAACCCTTTGCTATCTAGAAATTTCTAAGTTTGTTCATTATTCTGAGACTGTTACTGGTGAGAGTTTGGGATCTCAATGATCCTAGTCTTTAGAATCAGATCATTAAAATAGCTTGTCAAGTTTGGAGACTGTTTTTTAACTTTGATACTGATATCTCACTAAGTATGAAGTATAGGACTAGTACAAATTACATGCTTTGTAGAGAATTTTACTGGTTAATTTATTGCATAAATGAGCTTCAGTTGGAAGATGGTAACTAGAAAGTTAAACTAAGACAATTCCTAGGAAGTATACTACCCATAAATAACCAGACAGGAGCCACTACACAGCAGATGGCTAGTGGTCTCTCCTTCCCTGCACTTCTTCCATTTTCCTATTGGATTTGGCCTCTTGGGCACCTGGTTACTCCTCAACTACAGTATAAACAGAGGAAAGGGAAGATGGTGAATTTTACATCACAGCTGCAAAGAGAGCAGGAAGAGGCCGAAGAATTAAAACAACAGTGTTTTGGATTCTAGCACCTGTGGATTTGCCATCCATACTGGTCTATGCCCACTATCATTGGACTTAACCTAAGTACAAATCAAGTTGTTTTAGTAACAAGGACCTTTATTAACCCCTCCCCTTTAAAATGTATACTGTTATTTTTCTATGTAAGCAAGCTGTTTGAAATGCTTTGAAAGTAAAAAGTTAATATTAAAAGGCATATGCATGTAAAGTCTTCAGTATATTTATTTGTATAAAGAGTAAACAAAGTGCATATAGATGACCACAGGTTTGACACAGAGATCTTGGTGATAAAGACAACTGAACAGATTTAAATGGCAAGTTTCCTGACATTTAAAGAAGTCCTGAACTCTTCTGGGGGCTCAAAGTAAGATACTGAACAAGTACTAGATAGCATTAACAAGTTTTTCAGACTCTTAGTCATAAAGAACTTTATGCTTCACATTGAATTAAGAGACTAAACATCTTAACTTGGGCTTTGGGGAGGGGGATATGGTGGGAGGGAGACAGGGTCTTGCTGTGTAGCCATGTAGCCCAGGCCGGCCTTGAACTCTTAATCCCTCTGCCTCCTAAGTGCTGGGATTACATGTGTTTACTGCCACACCTAACAGAGATTAATCATTTTCAATTACCCAGATCCTCCAAGCAAACTGGAAACTGTCTAGTAGATCCTGAACTCCAGAGTGCCTCTGGCTAGATCTTTCAAGTTTTGCATCATGAGGTGATGGTCAAAATAGTATCGACCTTGTAGATGGTGGTAAGTATCAAAACACTAAGACTAGTGCAACATATGTGATATATATATTCTGTTTGCCTATAGTGTCCAAACCTAATGCTGGAACAGCTTGTCCCAAAGTGGTAGCTAGAAACAGGTGCACACTGAAGGCTCTTGAAAGCATGTGTAGCATCCAGGTGTAGGGAAAGGGCAGGTGAAAAGCACACTGCCTAGGAAAGCACTGGCACAGGCTAGTTCTCAAGAAGTAACATGCAGAGTGTACCCCATGCTGTCCCCTGTGCAAGGCCAATTTGTTCAACAGAAGATGATGGTCAGCCAAGGGAACAACAGCTGAGTCACTGGACAAATAGCTTGAAGTTTCAATCCTACTGGTGACAAGAATGTACTCATTTCTGAAAGGAAACAACAGCATACTAACTGGTATCTAGTATTTTAAGAATGGTTGGTCTATCACTGATAGATACTGAATTTTGAGGGCATGTTAACGTATTGGCCAAGTCCACCATTTTTTATCTAAGATAAATATGCCAGAAAATACTTTAGGTTATCTGGCAATTGAAAAAAGCTATCATCTTGAGATGGTACAATTCCTCTCATTTCACAAATACTATTTTAAGGCGATTATGATGCAAACTAGCTCCATGAAATGGGGGTACAGTCTTTCCAAAAGGAGGAGTGCTTAAGTGCTTTCTAGCATTTTGACTATCATTATTTGTCACTAATTTGAAAGATGTCAATTTAGAGAAGTTTCATACATGCCAGGGCAATAGTAGGCTGGGCCTTTGCCTGTTGAGTGACTTTTTAGACAAAACAAACTTGCCATAAAACTTTTAAAATTGTTCAGGTATTCATTGGGAGAGGAGGACTTGGTAAACAGTGGAATTTAAAGGTTATTCATGCTTCTTAAAAGTGCTTCAAATCCTTCAATAAGGTTCTGAAAAGTTGTCCGATTGGCTGGTTGTAATTCCCAGCATTTTCTCATAAGCTGATAAACCTGTAAAAAATAAAAGCAATCGACAGTAATAAGAATGATGTCAGATTTGGTAAGTTTTAAAACATTATAAAAACATCAAGAGCATGGAATCATTTTGGGAATGACTTCTCCTTAAAGATTAGCTCCTATAGTACAGAATAATTTAAAATGCAGAAAATGTACTTATGAACTACAATTCCTAAACATTAACATGTGAGAACCTCCTGGGCTGACTGACCATTAACCAGGCAAGTGAAAGGGGGTGGGCGAAACTGAGGCAAGATCCTATATCTCACCACAATGGCCATCTCGCTCTCATTTATACTGTTCAATATATATTTTTCTTGCAGTGCGAAGGTTTGGACTAAGAGCCTTGGGCTTGGCTAGGCAAGCACTCTGTCACTTGAGCCACACCTATAGTGCCTATTCAGTTTTTTTAAGAGTCTGAGTCAGGTCTCAAAGCTCAGCTCCCTTTAGAATTTAAGGAACTGAATAAATAGTGTAAGTTTTATTAGTAACTATCACAAATTTACACACAAAAGTGAGATGAGGCTTTGGCAAAATATTCCTTGGGTAGGCAGTGGATAAGCAGGAAAAGACTTCTTGCCTTGAACGTCATAACCCTGTGTCCCAAAGATTATTTCTCGAATGTCTTACCTGAAATTGAGCTTCAGAAAAGTAATTTAGAGGACTATTCTACTCCACCTCTCTGCCCTCCAGCCCCTGCTGCTCTGAAAGCATACCGCAAGCGGGCTGCTCCCGTGAGGAGCACCGTACCGTACCTCATCAGGACAGTTGCGTGGACACGGCAGGCGTTTCCCTTCTTTCAGTGTGTTCACAAGTCTCGTAACTGTCATCTGGCCGTGAGTTGGGCCGATCATTTTCAGGAACAACTATGTAAAATAAAACCAAACAGAATGTTTTACTTTGTAAATACCTGTATAGGTAAAATACTAAAATTAACTGGAAACAAGTAATAAGAACGCTTTTCTCCTTAATAACAAATCGAAATTTTTCAGTAGCTCTTGATTAGGCTGTAATCCTATTTCAGACTCCTCCCAACCACTTATTCCAGTCAGGAAACCTGTCCAATCAAAATCCCTTGTTCAGGAACAAGCATGAACAAGGTCCAGTGCTGCTCCACTGAGCTCACGTAGGTGCTCTAGAAGCATCCTCTCGTCTTCTCACACAGGTGAGATCCAGGAAATCTGGGTTGTCCTACAGACCTCTGGGCTCCATGTGAAACCAAGTCTTGGGACATCTTGTTGAATAACAAAAGGAAGTGACATTTTCCCCTTTCAACATAATACATAGTATGCATGATTATTAAAAACAAAACTTACAAAGTAGAGGAATGGACATACTTTAACTGGATTTTAGATTCAGATGAAGAGACAAGACTTACGGCCATTGGGCTTGAATCTGAATCGCAGTAAGTGAGCAGCTCATGCAGGGTCACTCCAAAGGACCAGACGTCAGAAGCAATATAAAATTTACACTGAATTAAGCATTCTGGAGCATACCTGAAAGAAAGCAGAAGGTAAA